GTCCCTCAAACTGACCCAGCTTTCTAATGAGGTCTTGGCTTCCATGCCTCCTCCTCATAACAGACACTCTCTGCTCCTCACCAGCCTCCTCTCTGAACAATCTGAACAAAACATGCAGACCTGCTCATACCTCCCATCCTTGTCCATGGCTCACTGATGACACCAGAAAGCAAAGGGTGGGGCTCAGAGCAGCAGAAAGTAAATTACGTAAATCCAGAGAGCCGTCTGACCTCAGCAACTATCAAGGTCTACTAGCATCATTCTCCTCCAGTTTAAAAACTGCTGAGACCAGTTTCTATCAGAACAAAATCTGTGGAACAACAGATGCTCAAAAAAAATTCTCTGTTTTTAACTCACTCCTCTACCCACCTCCTCCACCACCCTCCACTCTGCTCAGTGCAGACATGTTTGCATCATCTTTTACGAACAAAGTCTCTACAATCAGTAACTGAGTTTCTTTGTCTGACCAACTCACTGTTCAGCCACCAGCTCATAGGGCCACATTCTCCTCGTTCTCCCCTCTGACTGAGGAATAAGTCTCCAAGCTACTGCTGGACTCTCGTCCTACTACCTGTCCACTGGACCCGATACCATCTAACCTCTTACAAACCATGTCCTCAGCACTGAACCCTGCAGTAACACACATCATCAACTCCTCACTTGCTACAGGGGTGTTCCCCGCTACATTTAAGCAAGCTCGAGCCACCCCAATACTAAAAAAACTACAGTCGACCCAGCCCAGGTTGAAACCTACAGACCAGTTTCACTCCTGCCCTTCCTGTCAAAAATACTGTCTTTAACCAAGTCTCTACTTCCCTCTGTGACAACAACCTGTACGACCCGAATCAGTCTGGTTCTAAACGGGGTCACTCTACTGAGACTGCACTCCTATCTGTAACAGAATCACTGTGTTCTGCTGGAGCTGCTGGTCTTCAGCTCTACTGCTGTTAGATCAGTCAGCTGCCTTTGACACAGTTAACCACCACATCCTCCTCTCCACACTCACTGAGCTTGGCATCTCAGGATCTGGCCTCCGCTGGTTTATGTCCTACCTCTCAGGGAGATACTTCAGAGTATCCTGGAGTGCCCGAACTGCACAACCTGTCCACAGGGGTTCCTCAAGGGTCAGTGCTCGGTCCCCTTCTCTTCTCAATATACACAACCTCACATGGTGCAATAATCCACGCCCATGGTTTCTCATACCACCGCTATGCTGATGATACCCAGCTCTTCCTGTCGGTCCCCCCAGACGACCACACAGTCTCTGCCTGGATCTCATCAAGCCTGCCAGACATCTCGGCATGGATGAAAAAATGCCACCTTCAACTCGACCTCTCTAAGACTGAGCTCATTGTCATCCCAGCCAGTCCCCCTCTACAACAAGAAATCAACATCTAGCTTGATTCAACCAAACTCAGACCCACAAAATCTGCCAGAAACTTGGGTGTCATGATTGATGACCAGCTAACCTTCAAGGCTCATGTGGCCTCTGTTGCTGGGTCGTGTCGTTTCGTCCTGTACAACATCAGAAAGATCAGACCTTTCCTGTCTGAACATGTAGCACAACTCCTGGTACGAACTCTGATAATATCACACATTGACTACTGCAACTTCTTACTGGCAGGCCTCTCCGCATCCACGGTCAAACCTCTGCAGATGATCAAGAATGCAGCAGCACATCTGGCTTTCAACCAGCCAAAAACAACACATCACCCCACTGTTCAGATGGCTTCTCTGGCTTCCAGTTGCTGCCTACATCAAACTCAAAACTCTGACACTTGCCCACAAAACTAGAATGAAAACAGCTCCCTCCTACCTAAACGCTCTTCTTCGAGTCTACACTTCCTCCCGCTCACTACGCTCGACCAACAAAAGC